TACCCGATCAGGACCCCTTGAAGGGGTTAATTTTGTGACAATGCCTGAGTGGCTGTATATGATTCTACTTATTAAACAGTTACCAAATAAATAAATCGATGGAAATTAAATATATATTTAGTGATACAATTATTTAAGATGTCTAAAATACCACAGTGATATACAGTAGGCACAAAACTATGTAGCAGCTGTGAAGGAAATCGTTTTCCTGGGGGGAAAAAACACTGGCTAGTTCATTAGACATTATATATATATAACCCACAGAAACATTAAGAACTTTGAGTTGTATGTCAATTAATAAATGACAAAACTTTACCTTGTTCTATTTTTTCACAAAGGTATTTTTAACATAGGGAAAATTATACAGAGCCACTTTGGTGTCATGCTGTCATGCAAATTTCTGTCATTTTATAATTACTTTTTCATAAAATTGTTAAGGGGGTGGGGGGTAGACATACAGTGCATGCAGAGCCTAATCGATATTCTGATCATATATTTTTTCCAAACACACTTTATCAATTCCAAACCACATCAATCTTAATAATAACTATTAAGCTTAAGTATAGGTGATATGTCATTGCTGATGGGGGAAGGTATGAAAAAGTGATTTAAATGAAAAGTCCAAAATTATGAATGGCCATGAGAAAGATGCAACACTATAGAAATTTGAAAATTAAGCTTGACCATCATACTCAGTTGGGTCAGCAGGGTTGCAAAAAAATAAACACACACACAGAGAAAAGACGTATATAAACTGCAAAACATTAGGCGTGTTAAGCCACATCTTCCTTCAACAATTACATATCACCTATAAACTGTTATATACAAGCTTAATAGTAATTATAAGACTGATGTGGTTTGGATGTTAACAGAACTTTATTTAATCAGGGCCTTAAATACAAAAGCATTTTCTGAAACAGAGGTTGTGACTGACTCTACTAAATGGTATTGTGACACATTTCAGAGTGAAATTGAGCAAGAAAAAATGTTAGACAGGACTTGATTGTGTAAAGTAAGTGTTTGCAACTGGAATGGTCGCTGAACGTAACTGCGTTTTAGATGTCAAGTGAGCATATAACAAGAAAAGCAAACATGCAAGGATGAATTGTTCCCAATAAGACCAGTAACATGCATTAAAAGGACAGTCCACCCAAAAAATGACCCCTTTTGTTAATGT